GTTCACATTTCAGAAGTATTCTTTTACTCCTAGAATCCTTTTTCCTTGATATGAAACTAGAGGCACTAGTAGTGAGTAGTAATAAAATAGGCACAGTTGCATTGATTATTTGCATAAAACCAACCACCAAAATAATGTCAGCTGTATTACCTAGGAGAAGTACAGCAGATTGAACTACTCATTGGCCACTGAAAAAGCAGGAGTCGGCGTTGCAACAATAGCCAACCTGCATTTGGAGGAACAATTTCATCAAGACTCACGTGAACAGATAGTAGCTAAGATATACTCCTACATTTCACTTCTTAGAATATAAATAGCTTGTTCTTCGATAATAAGACCTCAAACAAATCAGTGACATCAACACAGCAATAGAAACTTTTTGTGCTCATAATATTGCTTTGCTTTGTGTATTTATGTGGCTCATGTGGTGAATTATTCAATTTTATGCTGTCAAATTACAGATAAAATTGTGAGTTCAAATTTAAGTCTGCATGAAATTATTGGACAAACAACATAAATTCTTCTGCCTATTAACACAGGAGTAAATAATAAATTTCCGTAATACTTTAAAAACTTAAGGTCATGGCATGCACAAATCTACTTCTAGTCTAAGACAGCTCCTCAAGGATATAACAATATGTTAGATAGTATTCTAGTCATACTCATGTTAGATAGTATTCTAGTCATACTTACTGAGAATCAACTAGATTTTTCTTCTTGGCCTTCTTGTTTTTACGACTCTTCTTTTTCCCAGATGTTGAACTTGGTACAAAAACAATTTGAGGACCTGTTGCCTCTAATAAAGGTCCAGGTCTAGGTTTTTTGAATTCATGGAGAGGGAGATGTGCTCCTTGAACAATAGATGGTTGTTCCAATGTAGGATTAAGTAATGCAAAAGTGTTATTTCCTGTGTCACCATTAACTTCAACTTCTTTTCTTTTATTCAATGAGACTAGGTCCTCCCCTGGGTTCTCTCCAATAGGCATAGAACCATCATTATCATGGACCTTGGAAGAATTCTTTAGGTTTTTCAATGCATCAAACAACCTGAATTTAGACCTGACTATTTCAGACATTGTTGTCCCGGATTCAGAGCCTGAAAAAAAAAATCATAAAGCCATTATCATCCACACATGCATACCNGAAAGGGGGGGGGGGGTTAAGTTTCAAAAATGTTTCTTAGCTAGACTCTAGTAATTCTTCGAAAGTACCTGAATGCACTCGGAGCTCAAAGGGGTTATGATACTACGGACAGCTGCAATTTGCAGCCCATAGTGGAGAAATTAACAAAATTCATAGACTAAAATGGGTTATAGTACACAAGGGATAGGTTTTTTTGGCTCACAGCATTAGCACGTTTCAGTAACTACAGAGTGTTGCAATGTTTCCCATAATTAAAATAACAATGTAAGCATGGTATTAATTTGAGGCACTTTTACAGCAATATAATCATATTAGGATCAATACAAACGCTATTAATCTTTATATGATATACTTTTCACAAAGATTCATAGTTATGGAGCATATAAGAAAAAGAAATAGTATAGACATGGAAGCTTGACGTTCTAACTCAATTACCCCATTTTTTATTTCATAGATGTATTTCCATTCCAAGTAGCTATGTCAATTGAGATTATTAGAATGAAAATATTCTAAGGAAATCCAGTGCTCTAGTACTAATTTCAGTACTTGTTCTTACATAACGTGTACTGATCATATGATTCAATCTCACTAAGTTGATTGAAACTTTAAATATGATTCAGCTGATTTCAAACTGTAAGTTGAAGCTACACAAAACTCATGCGTAGATCATTTTTTAACTATAATTAAAATTGCGTTGTTTCTATTCAATAGAGCAAAGCTTTGATAAGATAATCAAACATTTCATCTTACAGCTTACCTAGCAGTTTTGTTCTCCAGTATTAAAGGTGCATATACAAGAGTTTGTTTGAAAATGATACTTTGAATTTGAGTAGCTCGAAGCAAAAGGATTTGAGACAGCTGCATGTAATAAGAAATTCAAGCAGTTCTATACTGTATTATTTGTCTCGTATTTTGAGTAGCTCGAAGCAAAAGGATTTGAGACAGCTGGATGTAACAAGAAATTCAAGCAGTTCTGTACTGTATTATTTGTCTCGTATTTTGCATCCAAACAGATAGATAAAAGACCATTAAGAAATACTTAAAAGCACAATATCTGCAATTCAATAAGAAATGACCAATATTTTGAGGGCTGGCTTCAAATAAAACAGTGTTCTACTCACCTAAACAACAAATGAAACAGTCAATATGGAAAACTGAGATCATAGTACTTAATTCAACAAACCTGACGTAAAAATGAACTCCCTTCATCCTTTACTTTGCTAATAAGACCAGCCAATGCAAGCTTGGCAACTTCTTGTTCCGCCATCTTTTTAGACGAACATGCATCAGATGTAAAGCATGTTCCGTTTACCTTCACTTTGGATCTGAAACGGGGAGGATGTTCCACTTCACAAAAAGTTACATACACTGGAAGTGGAATAGATGCTCTTTGTGTAAATTGTTGTAAGCGGCTCTTGTATGATACCTCTTCTGCAATACCTATTTGATAAAAAGGCAAGTAGGAGTAATCAATTCATTTTAAGGAAAATGGCCAATTAAAAGTCACACAACTAACAATATATTAATTTATTTACATATCTATGCAAATAACTGGCAAGATAAGCAAATTAAAACAAGTTCTAAATGTTCGATCAATTTTAAAGAGATAATATAAAGTTGAACCTGAATCATACAGGAAATTCAACAAAGTAACAGAAAATGCCCTGTGCATGAGGAAATAAAACTTAAACTTCAAGGGGTGATACAATTAAGCAATTCAACCACTATGAAATTACAGAGAGAAAGTCCCATGTATACATCTGTTTTCATATCAGAAGATATTTTCAAGTTATACACAGGAATAAGAAGAAAGCGGAGTGTTACGGCACTACATTCGCTATTTTTAGCCGACTACCAACAATTTCACAAAGTCACATTGTTCGTCCAAATTTGTCAAAAAGGATTGCTGTAGCTTATCAAAATAAGTGGATTCACAATGATACACAACAAACATGCATTTTATATCACCTCACCCATCACACACA